GCTACTGCCTTGTAGTCTATCTGTATACCTTTCTTCCCCTTGTATTTCGGGCTACAACCCTCCTCGTTTTTCCGTTCTCATCTTTTAGTTTCATTCATGTTGTTCTGTACAGCTATGTGTATTCGTGTGCTTGTATTTTTAGCTTTGTGGTATGGCTTTTACAACAGGACGGTTTTCTTTCTTTATTGATGTCCTTTTCGAAATCGAACCTATGCTATATAGTTCCTCCTAAACCAATGTTAGATCCGAACCTTCCATTGTTTGTGTTTGTCCAATCTATTCCAAGCCTTAAGTGCTACAATACCTTATATGATATATCTCAGTTGGTTAATGTGCGGTTGCCAATCATCGAACGGTTGCTTACCAGCTATTTCCGTTCGACTCCATAGAAACAAAAACGCCTCTTGCCTATTTCTTTCTCAATGTTAAATTGTTAAGTTGTGAATGTTTTTATGAGCTTATTTACAACGAACATGTCTTTCTCAACACCAATGTAATGTTGTTCGATAACCCCGCTTTTCTTGTTAGAACTATGATTGGTATTTAGCCGTACAAAACTGTGGCTAATGAATCAAACGCCACTTGCACGCATTGATAAATTGGTGATAGATCACTACATCGTAATAGATATCGTTTCCATGTCCACATACTTCCATAAAAGCAAAGGAGTTATCTTGAATACCCTTTCTTTCCTTCCCTTCCTCAGATGAAACTTCTCCCTGGATCACTTTGAGCTGATCACAGCAGAGTTTAAATTATTCCCCGCTTATAGGGCATTCAAGTACGTTTCGTACCCGAATCGATTTATCCTCTTGTACTTACAAATTCAACCCAGATGAGGAATCCATACCCATATGACCTGAGCTTGCTAGAACAGCGGCAGCAAAGTCAGGCAACTTCAAGCTCTTCAAATATCGCTTATAATCCATATTTGGAAAAGCCTGAGAATGATGTTAGGCCAGCAGACTTGAATGATACCTCCGCTATAAATTCAAAAGTGAGTTATCAATCTGGCATATACCACTTGCAAGTTCCAATCAAGTGCCTTTCCAACAGAGGCATTTGAAAGATATTGCCAGCTTTTTCGTACGCAAGAAATTTGTTATTTTGGCAATTCTTGTGGTATTTTCTCTTGGGCTTGGTATTGGTGTAGGGATTGGCATTGCAGCGAAAAAGCCAAAACAAGATATCATTGCGACAGATGCAAGTAATGGGGATAATAGTGCTGGGCTAGAAACTTCACAAACAAGCAGTTCCAATATGGTCAAGAAGCCATCATCATCACCATCATCATCATCATCATCATCATCATCACCATCACCATCATCACAGCCAAGCCCCTCCCCAACCATAACCAATCCAGCCACAAGTGAGGGACCGGTCGTTACTTTGACCCCTGTCCCTATCACCGAATCCACTACTGGGTGACTTTTTAGAGGTTGTATCAAATTCCAGTATGTAAAGAAAAAAACAGGACAGTAGAATTGATATTATGATTTTGACTTGTATAAATAGAGCTCATCTGGACTTCTGGAGTTTGATCTGCTAACTGTGATAGTGATCCTTTATTTAACTAAAATTTCTTTTTTTTTCTGGAGTAAATTCCTCCAAAATGACAGTCAATGATTCTCTCCCTCATGGTAAGATAGGTAATACTTTTACACTGGAAAAAATTAAATCAACTCTTTCAGTATCTGATGGGCAATAATTTTTGGGAAGAGATAATCATTGTTTAAAGAAGGGGACGGGTCGTCACTGGTTGCTCCGGCCACAATGGATATTGACAATCAAGCCAAAAAGATATCTTGATATTTAATTATTTAATTTTGCAATGGGCAAACACAACATCACAAAGCGAAGCCATAATTTTAAAGATATGAAATATATTACTAAATTGGTAATGATGGTGATCACTTAGTGCTTCCAGTGTCCAGCATCTTGGCAGATAGTTCATTTAATCAACAATATTTTAATTTTTGTTAGGTCAATTTGCTAATCACTACCTTCTGCATTGGCATCAGTAGGTATTGGTTCTGTCAAGAAGACAAGGCTTGCCTGTCTCTGTCACTCCGGGGACACCTGATGAAGGGCGGGCATCTGTTGCCATGCAGAAGCATATCAATTTCATTTTTCATTCAGACTAACGATTATATGAGTTATATTTGACATCTGAGTAGTTTTTCGTTCAGTTCAAATTTGTTGCTTGGAACAATATTAAAAGACGAGCAAACTGCCAGCTAGTGTATACATGCCCCGGTGTGTTTAATTTGATCAGGTGAGTACCTTACCTGGGATTAAGGCTTAACCACTTCAGATTTTGGCGTGTATTCTTGCTTTTACAGGCAGATGATTATACAAAAGCATTTCAACCGACTTTCACCAAAGATCAACCGAAGATATCAATTATTGACCACATCAATCAAGATTAGCATGGTTTCTGCGGTCTAACATCATCAGTATAAAGCGATTGATTAATTCCTCGACTTTGATGAACAGAATGGAGGTCAATGTCTCGCACGGCACCTATGAAGTATTGGTATCAGAATGATAAGCGGGGCATGGGAGACAGGATATGCTACGTAAACTTCGAATATTCCAAACTGACGCTGATGACATCAATAAAGTGGTCAGCCCATGTATAATTATTCAGCTCGAAGAAATCAGGTGGGGTATCATGATTTGTTAGATGATATCAACGCTTGGCGCTAATATAGGAGTCCCCTAATCTTGAAAGCAGCCTACACGACTTACATCTCACAATAAACTCAATTTTGAGCTCAGATTTATTGCGTACAAGGTCCTGGGTAGAATTGGGATCCAGGGGTATAGTCATTTTTAGTGATGAAATTGGAAATGTGAACATGACAGGATCACTATCATGATGATCAAATTGATGTACAAATGTATTTCCTGTCAGATTCAAGGAACTTATCGGCCCTGAAAGTAGTAGAACTAGTGACCATAAAAGCAAGTTAAGCGCATACAGCTTGGCAGTGACTCGGAAATTCTCCCGCAATTCTGCAATGTCCTCGCTTGCTTCACTCTTAGCAGATCCGATCGCTCCTCTATATGTCGGCTGTAACGTTGCAGCAAGGTGTGATAGGTCAAGGATAATACGATATAGGCACATTGATTGAAGTAAATTTATCTACAGCCTTTATGGACTTAGTTGCTTGCAGACATTTATTTATGTTACTTCTTACCGCACTAAGCAAGACAGACCATGGTTGAAATTGGGAGCTGTGATTATATTGTAAGTACCTAAGTCTAAATTATCAATACATAATCCATTAATTCCTCAAAAACACATCTCAGTGTAAGCATCCTCTGCTTTTTTGCATCAATTTGATAGTCTGACCCTTTTAGTTACTTGATACTGTGCATCAAGCACTGCTAGTTGCAGCAATCTACCGGTTTTTAATAACAGATGCCGGGAATCCCCTTGCAGCCCTGAATGAAGGTCCAGGAAGTGGAGATCAGTAAGTTCTCAGTCAACCAATATTTTAACAATATTCATTACCATCTACAGACTTATATATGTAAGTGTTACAATTTACTCTGTATCTAAACACCTGTAAATGAAAATCGGTCAGATTCCTAGTGTCATTTCGGTGTGTTGTATACTCTCATTATTGAACTAATACATTCTGACCCAAATCAGACTTGCTTGATATTTTTGATACAGCTGTTGGTTATTCAAAACAACCGTCAATTTCTCCGGCTAATTTAAATGCTGTAGATTTTTTTGCTGGCGTATATGGACGTTTTCTGGGTTGGAGTTCAAGCTAAGATATCGAGTTGGTGTATCTGCATTCACGGCAAGTTTCTGTTCTAAGCTTAAACCACATCATAATCCATAAATGATTTTATAGACTGTAATTGCTCTATTCACTTTTGGTATTTTCTTTCTCGCACTCCCTAGATGAATGCAAACTGAATGCTTAAATCATAGCTTCAACTGTGTGTAGGAAGCTTTATTGTGTCACCTCTCACACTCAACTACATCCTGACCATAACATTTTCATAGATGCTGAAGTTATTGGTTTTCATAACCTTCTTTTATCCGAAACTACTGTCTTAGGGGTAAGCAATTATCCGTGATTCTCATCAAACAATTAATTCAATAATTACAACAAGACTTGGGTCAAAATCTCAAGGTCCGCCGGGATAACACTTGATATTGTCATTACACTTGCTATGTGTAAGTCTCCCCTCTAAAAAACAAAATAATGTTTAATCTTTCTATAGCCTATAGCCTTTTTCGAGCTAGATCTGGAGTCAGAGGGTGTGCATCCATTTTTCAGTATTTTCCTAGCGGGCAGTCTCATTTCCATCATGTTTCAGGAGTGATCAAGTCGTTAAGTCACTGATCTTATTTACCGTTAATACTGGAATGATTACCACGTATGCTTGACTGCTTGACCGTAAACATCCGTATCTAATTACTGATGTTTCAAAGATTACTTTCAATCACAGAACTTGTACTTGTAAGTAGCATTGTCTGGTATAGGAACAAAAATCTGATATTGTGAACGAGTTTATATATCTCCCTGGATCATTCATCTATGTAGGGATTGACTTTGTGACCACAAAAAGTACGTTGTTTCACCTTGATTGCCATCCTAGATTAATTAATAATTCACTCCACAAGCTTATATAAATTTCTTCCTTGCTGTGTAAGACGACAATTTTTTGATTCACCTCTACAACCAGGGCTGATGGATTTCAGTTTGAATTCTCGAGAATATTTCCAGCGAAGACTGAGACGAAATGAAGCCACACCGTTGAAAAATTTGGAGCACGGGGTGATTGAGATCCAGGCCTCGATTTCAAGCTTCCAAGCTCACCCAGAGAGTGTATGTGCGTTGTCTAAGAGTATTGCAGATTGACTATAATTCAAAATATAGACTGGTCAGACTGCAGTTTCTACTGGAGAGCAGAGTACATGGCCCCATTGATTTGTATAAAAATCACATCATCCGTAACATTCTCATAGAAAAGGGCCTGACCGGGAATTGAACCCGGGACCTCTCCCAAGGATGAAGTCTTGTGACTCCGGGTAGCCGGCCCGAAGGGAGAATCATACTACTAGACCATCAGGCCATACTTTCTGTGTTGTCGTTTTGAAATCTATTGCTACATGGATGGACAAATTCCCTGATTATGAAAACCGTAAAAATAAAACTCCACTATCCTAACTGGTTCCCCGAAGCTCTCCCCTTAGCCTTTCCAGCGCTTTGCCTAACTCATTTCTACCCTGTCGATCTGCCCCGATGCCCCAGAACGCGTCCTTGTCAGAATCCTGTGACTCGTCAACGAACACGAATTGCTTCCATATTCACAAACCACGTACTTCGATAAGCTCTGCATCCCCAGTATCCAGTAATTCACGCAAAAGATCCGGATGTTGTCTGAATTTATGCCACAGTGTGATGTTCATCTGAGTTGACAATTTGTGTTAGTAGCATAAATCTGAATGATTGGTGACAACCTTTTCAATGTTCACGTCTTTCCAATCCGGTCTTACTTCGGGTTGAAATCGGCGAGCTTCGGAAAATGCGACGCTAGGTCTCTCGGAGCATGTCCTTATGTGCTCTGCTAATCCCGGCTTGTGGTCTTGGAACTGGATTTTTTAACAGTTTTATAACTCGGGCATTGCTATAGAGTGGTCCACCTACCTTGAAGGACTGAAACAAATGCTCGCTCGTGGGATACCTCTTTCCATTATACATAACGGGGTGGGGTGAGAAGTTTGTAAATCCGTAATGAGGATCGTCCTTATGGTAGAAGTAAACCTTCGGACGAATGGGACTGTTGTGACGAGAGCTGAACCGGGGGGAACTAGGAGGAGTAGAAAACAGGGGGCTCTTAAGTGCATTGGAGGGTTTGAGGGTCTGTCGATGACTTTGGTAGCGCGAAGCTCGATTATGAGCTGTTGGTTGACCAGAAACATAGAGTTCCTGTGCCGATTTTGTACGAGGAACATGTCCTGAAGAGAATATCTGTTCCTCGGAAAGCGATTTGCAGCGTGCTTCGGGATTCGATTCGACACTTCGGTCACCCTGGACATCTACTAGCCGCAGGAGGCGGCCAAAGTCCTGAGATCCCCACTGAGACGGCGGAATGTCGGAAGTAACATAGACTGTATGTTTCCGTCGCTCCTCAAGCTCGACTCGATATTCAACTGGGGAAAGCCCACTGGGCGAGATGGGAGTCATTGGGCTAGGCGGTACTGGGATGACTGCGTTGTGGGACGAATTAGAGCTGCTAGAAGAAGGGGTAGTTCTGATGATTATGGAGGTACGGCGCATCCGGGATAGATGGGAGCTGAAGATGGGTAATCTAAGGAAAACTTCGTGAACTCGATGCTATATGGCGTACAACAGGTGCCTGCCTTGAATTGGGTGAAATACAGCCACTGACCTCACACAAGCCTCACGAGATACACATTCTCATCGATGTCCATCCAAGTCATATGAAAGCAGCGTCCTGACCTCGAGGCTAAAATGATGTGATGGCGTGAAGAAAAACACCAACTCCGATAACGCACGTGAGGGTGACATGTTCTACCTGCTACTTCCTCACATAACAAGCGGCTCATTCGGTAGTCATTTGCTACCGACCCTTTAGTTTATATCCAAATATGACGGCGCCGATCAATACTTACGTAGCCTCAAAAATCGTTGAAAATGGCCACTTCTGATTCCTTAACCTCTTTTCGATTGCACAATGTCAACCGGCAATCTTCCATTCGGAAAACCCTCCATGGTTTCCGGGAAGTCAAGACGATTAGTTCACATAGATCCTGCAGACAAGGCTTATTATGAAGGTACGTTTAAGATACCGGAAATCTGCATATCTCTAATGTCAACGATCTAGTGGAGAGACTATTCCTCAAGGGCTGGAAACACAAGGAAAAGAACAAACCAGTTATTCGTGCGCTTTACGAAGTAGCATGCACACAACCCAGCCTTGATTCCTATACAGAATACAAGTCATTATACTGTCTTGTATCTTAGCGTTGAAGTCATTGACAACTCGATCATACAGGTTTCAGATACAAGTTGTGAATCAGTTGTCAAATTACCGGAAGTGCGCCAATGAACAGCTTCTGTTTCACGGAACCAGCCAAGCATGTTCTTTTGGCGAGAACCTTGACGATGTCAGCCTGTGTTACCTGCCAAATTGCTCCCTCTGTTCTATCATACGCAATTCATTTGACATTCAAAGATGCGGTTAGTTATTCAAGCAGCTTTTTCTTCCAAGTATTTTACCTGCTCTTTTGTCAGGATCAAGACACCATTTTCGCCGGTAATTTGAACAGTTTTTATGGGAACACAACGGTCTTAGCACTATTCTATGGAATAGGTTCGGCCACGGCATCTATGTCACTTCGTGTTCCTCCAGTACGTGCATCAAGTCCAGATTTGCTTATGAGGAAATAATTGAAATAATTTCATTGTTGCTCAGAAGCAGACGACTACTTTTCCAGCAAAAACAATACCCCAAACTCGCGGGTTCTTCTTGTTAATCGCGTCATTGTCGGAAAGGCTTCAAAGCAACGGTACAATGCCACTAACTTGACTGAGGCCCCTCGTGGCTATAATTCTGTGAGTTGGGGATAATCTTTCTGTTGGTACCTCTTATTGGAACTCAAATCATAGGTTGTTGGGCTTCCGGGAGGTAAGTGAAGGCATTGCCATTAATACCACCAAATGACATTACCACTTCTAGGCGACCTTCGCTACCCAGAAACGGTACTATATCATAATGACGCTATACGTCCTGCCTATGTGATCGTATATGGACAAGGGTCACCTTCAAAAGAACCTGGAACAACTCCAAAGCTTGCTTTTTGGACGAGCCTTTTCAGCACACCACTGGCAACATGAAGCTCTGGTACTAGTAGTACATACAGACGCAAACCCGGAAGCGAAACGCACCTAGAAGCGAAACATAATATAATATTACCAAAAGCGGACAGATTTTCCCACAACCAGCGTTTTCAAAAAAAATCAGAAATTGTCCAGAGCGGCCCAAAACAAGACGAAAACCCGCTCCTCAATATCCTTAGAGGGGGTTTAAAAGGTCTGTGAGTCGACCTATCTCATTAGAATTTGACTCTGACGTCAACAACTCGCCAAAAACCGGTTGTTTCGCTTCCCGGTTTTTACACATTTTTCATTGGAAAAGTGTCTTGTCCATTTCTCGGCCATATGAAGCTCAAATCTCATAAATCTTTTTTTAAACTTAGAGAGCATAATCCAAAGATCACGAGAAAAAAAACATCTAAAAGATTTCATCTATATTTCATGCGGGAAATGTAAAAATAGCTAAAGTGTTTCGCTTCCGGGTTTGCGTCTGTAAACTATAACATATTATATATTTATCAACAGAGTACACAATCGACCAGCAACTGTGCCGCTCGTTCTGTAACATGTCTTCAGGTGTTATACATAATCACATATGCTGGAACTATTGCGTCTGCAATCGGTACAAACAAGGATTTATCTTCAGGAACCTGCCATGATCATAAGCTTTTTGCCCTTTCCAACGTTCAATGTCAGGTTCGATCGACTCACCTCCACTGCATTTTCTACAAGGACGTCGCATGCAATAGCAACACGATAAGGCGAGGATGTACACGAGGTTGCAAATTGATCGGCTAGCTGGGGGTTTCGGTATGAATATATACCTTCACCGAACCTGAAAGCATGTCACCATTACAGCTTAAATGGACTTACCCTGCGGCTTACCTTCCGAGGTTAGAGGACTCCCCGAAAGCAAACGTTTTGAACGCGGATTTCACGATGCTGCATATTCCACATGATTTGAAATCGCACAGAATGGCCTGGCCGACTCCGAGATTGCAAATGCACTGTGCTGCATGGAAGGTCCGGAGCTCCTTCTGGGATTGTAAGTGTTTACTACACAAATCATTTCAGCGTAGCCTAGTCTTAAATGATGAAAACCTACCGGTAACTCAAATGACGGTTTTGTGCATCCCGCGAAAGAATAACTTCGTATACTTTCTCGACAGAAGGCTTCACGTGTGACTCCCACTCACTGATAAATTGGGACCTGACTGTGTCACTCATGAGAACTATGAACAAGCATTGTAATTAAAATGAAGAAAACGCACCTTGTTTAAACGTAGCTCCGTTATTATCAAGCTCCCGGAATCTCGTCCTGCCAGCTGCTGAGCGGTCGCAGGTAATACACAACTCTCCAATACTGCGGGGTCGAACTTTGCAGACATCACATCCCCTAACTTGGCCCTTGCGGACGCCCTCTTTCGCATGAATGTCAGAACAGAAATCGGCGAACGCTGGCTTCCCAGTAGCTCTACATCCTTGTAGAAGACAGGCTTTAGGACTCGGCCCTGGGCCATTTCGAGCACATGTCCTGCTACAGTATGGATGTTTGAATCCATTTTCTACAAACTTGGGCTTCTTTCCGCATGTCTACTCAAAGTCAGATCGTTGCCTTCGTTATGTGAAACTCAACAATTTCTTCACTCACCTCGCAAAGATCATTAGAAAGCCCTTGCAAACGTTGGTGGGCACCCCAGTGGACGACGTGCTTGACAAAGGCAGCCATGGTGGTAGTTCAAGTGATAGAGGCCAAGAGGAAGAAAGAAGTAAGAAGTAACTTACAAGCTGTGCATCGGATACACGCCGCATCCTCATTGCTGCCATTCAGCACAGACGCTTTACACGCTGATTCCAAATGTAGGCTCACAGTATTGATTTAAAGGCACGGTGGTAAGTGAATCTTCTCCAAGATTCCTCATACATCAAAGACTTGTTGAAATGAGCGCTGTAGCAACAGTAGCTTCTGGCCTTCCATTGGCTCTATCCTTACTTCATACTGTAGCCAATCAATATCCTGGCTTAACTAAATCCCAACCAACCACTACCACCACTACAATTCCTCCAGCTCCTCCGCCACCACCACCGCCGCCGCCGCCCGTATCAGTTCCTCCTTCAGCTCCTCCTCAAGCATCTCTAGCTGCACAAACACTTGGGAACCAGTCGGTTCCACAGACATCTTCGACCATTAGTGGTCAAGTCAATGCATCAAATGGTACTCTGCCGTTGAAG